GAAATCAGATTGATTATATTCTCTGCAGCCAAAAATGGAGAAACTCTATACACTCAGCAAAAGCAAGACATGGAGCTGATTGTGGCTCTGATCATCAGCTTCTTATAGCAAAATTCAAACTTAAAATGAAAAAAGTAGGGAAAAACCACTGGGCTAGTCAGGTACATTCTAAACCAATTCCCTTTTGAATACACAGTGGAAGTGAAGAACAGATTTAAGGAACTAGATTTGGTGGAGAGAGAGCCTGAAAAACTATGGATGGAGGTTCGTAACATTGTACAGGAGGCAGCAACAAAAACCATCCGAAAGAAAAGAAAAAGCAAGAAAGCAAAGTGGCTGTCCAACGAGGCCTTACAGAGAAGGGAAACAAAATGCAAGGGAGATAGGGAAAGTTACAGAAAATTGAATGCTGACTTCCAAAGAATTGCAAGGAGAGACAAGAGGGCCTTCTTATATAAACAGTGCAAAGATATAGAGGAAAATAATAGAAAGGAAAAAGCCAGAGATCTGTTCAGAAAATTGGAGATATTAAAGGAACATTTTGTGCAAAGATGGACATGATAAAGGACAAAAATGGTAGGGATCTTACAGAAGCAGAAGACATCAAGAAGAGGTGGCAAGAATATGCAGAGGAATCATATCAGAAACAATTGTCCTGTTTGTTGTGAGGTTCTTGCCACCTCCTGTTGCTCTAAAGCAGAGGTCCCCAGCCCCTGGTCCCCAGCCCAGTGCTGGTCTGTGGCCTGAGCTGGACCAGGCGGCAGAAACAGACCTCCTCCCCCGCACACACTCACCTGATATAGCTGATTTGTGCATGCATGCACACTCCAATGCACCTGTGAGTGCCGCACAACATGCGCCCTTTGCACATGCATACAAGCATGAGCATGCCCACAAAAGTGCCACACCACCGTGTGTGTGTGCTCTTTTGCGCACGCGCACAAGCGCAGGGGTGCCCCATCTTCTACAGCTGGTCCACGGGGTGAAAAAGGTTGGGGTGCTTGTCCATTCCTTCAGCTTAGAAACCTGGTAGTAAATGGGAATTTTAAATTATGACGTCTGACGGGGGCGGGGAGTGAAACCAACCTGGAGGATGTATATCAGGAATCTTTTACCAACTCTCCTCAGGCTGAAGAAGCTACAGTATTAGAATGAGTAACAAAACCTTTCGACCTAACAAGAAAGAAGTCCAGTTGCCATGACTCAAGTTCCAGAGAGCCACACACCTGGGTGACTGAGAATATTTACAGGTAAATTCTAACGTGTGCGCGGAGGCTGCGGTTCTCGTCAACAGACTGCATTCCGGCACCAGCTCCTCTGAAGTCCGCAGTCACATTGCGAGGCTCTGCAGAAAGTGGTGGGGTTGAAGCGCGTCGCGGCAGAGCCTGGGGCCGGGGGCGGGTGGGTTTCAACCCCACTGCGCTTCCTCGTGGGAGAAGGGCAGCTGAGCCCGCCCTGCCTGGCCGCCCGGGAGGCCTCACGGCTGCCCCGGAGGGAGGGGCACTTTGCAACACTTAGAAAGCCCTGGCGAGGTCCACCTACGTCGGAAGTAACGGGGGGGGGGGAAACGATCCTTATGGCGAATTACAAGTAACGGTGCAGCAGCAGCACCGGACAAGATCTCCCGACCGCCAGCTCTGCCTTCTTTCCGCTTCCATTTCCTCTCCCCAGCCGGTCCCGCTCGCGGCTGCGGACAGTCGCTTACTATGACGTCACTCCCTCTCGGCCTTGCGAGAAGGTCGCGAGCGCCCGCGTCCCCCCCTCCTCTGAACAAGGGCGGGGCAACCTGTGCCTGCCAATCGCTGCGCCTCCGGGACAGCTCCGCCCCCAGTAGCACGTGGCACGCGAGGAGGCGGGTCTTTTTCCCCCAGGCGTTTGGGGGGGTAGGCGGGGCTTGCATGGCACGCTCCGCCCAGGCTCCTCCCGCCCGGTCGGGTAGAGGGACGCCTCGGCCGGACCCCGAGCAGTGGACTTGCCCCTCGCTGCGCGCTGCTTCCTTTTGCTCTCCCCGCGGCGGCTCCGGTCTCGCTGCTCGACATGGCAAGGGGTCTCCCGCCCAGGGCCCGGCCGGGGCCGCAGGGGCCTCCCGCCCGCGCCTCCCTCGGCCCCTCCGTCCTGCTCCAGCTGCTGGTGCTGGTGCTGCTGCCCGGGGCGTTGAGCATCGGCCTCTACTCGTCCGAGGACCCGCTGGTGCTGCTGGCGGCGGACACGGTGGAGCGGAGCGTCTTCAATTCCAGCAGCGCCTGGGTGGTCGAGTTTTACGCCTCCTGGTGCGGCCACTGCATCCGGTTTGCCCCCACCTGGAAGGAGCTGGCCGGCGACATCCAGGGTAAGCGCCAGGTTGGGAAGGCGAGCCGGCTGGGGAGGTGAGCCTGGGCTTCAAGGGCCGGCCGGGTGTGTTGCCCAGCTTAGGGAACGGGGAGGAAGGAGGTGGCTGGAGGCGAGCGGAGGGCAGGAACTCCGCGCGATCGCCGAGGCGCTCCGTTGTTTGATCGCTGCTCCGTGTGGTCCCCGACTCTCGGATTTGTCTGGGAGTAAACAAGGGACAGACATTGGATATTCGTATTCCTACCTCTGAAGATATGAATACAAATATCCTGTGTCTAGATGTGATCCCCCAAATTAATTCCTGATTAAAGAGGCTGGGTACCCCCTCGCCCTACACACACCCTATGCATATTCGCGAATCAGTAGAGGTCTGCAGCGTCTGCTGGGAGAGTTGAGTACATTTTCCCTGTCTCGCTCTCCCTCATGGACCTGGGATGCCAGCTCTTTGCTGTCAGTTTGGATCACAAAGAAATCTACTTGCCTCTTTTCTTAAGAAAATCTGTGCCTTTCATTCCCCTGGCCTTGGCCTCAGGACCCCAGTGTTATTTTTGCCTCTTGCTGCTCAATCCTGTACTATATGTTTTCTGGGTAGAAAGTCCCCTTGTGTTCAGTGGGGATTCCTTCCAGACTATTTGCATAAGAATTGCAGCCCTTAGTCTTTCTTCCTGTTCTGTTTTTTCCCTCCCTTCTCTCCATCCACCCTCTCAGGGATGAAACCAGAAATATGTTTGGACTGGACTCTTCTAAAAAGTACAGACCTTCTGTTTTTCAGTGTACACTGAGCAGAAAAGTACATTGGTCCTCAGTCAAGGAGACCTTGGCCTTTGTTTTTTAGGGGGAAGGAGATCAATCCTATCTAAGCAGAAGTCCACACCACTTTCTAATGCTAAAAAGTAACACAGTGTCAACTCATTTCATCCATTGTAATCCCATTCACGCCCCCAGCCTTACTGGAGTATATGTATGAAATGTTTGGAAATGTTTGCCTACAACCCTTTTCTCCCCTCCCCACTCTCAAAATATACATGTTGTAGTCATAAACCCATAGCTTCTTACTTCACTGACCCTCAGTGTACGAATGTCTTTTCTCTATCATCTGCTGTCTTGTTGTCAGATGTTATGTGAAATTCACTTGCCTGTATATGACCGTGTGTGTGTATACTTACATACACATATCCCTTTCCACTTTTTAAAATTGTGCTTCTTTACTCATTGACAAGTCCACATCCAGATATCAAGGCTAAATGTTATTTTACTAAATGGAGACATGATGACATTCATTTACTGATGTGGATTCACTTAACTTTTCCCTTCATTGGAGCAAAGAAATAAACGAGTTAATCACACCAGTTTTCCATTACATCCAAACTTGGAAACTATGGTTAGTGGCTTCCAAAGAAGCCAGAACTGCTTTCGCTGTTCCTGGCTACAAGTACAACTGGGTTGTAGTTGTAACTGCAGTAACTGATTTAAAGAAGATACTACTGGGCAGTTGTTAATACAGTGCAGCGCAAGAGCTATATATTTAGAAGTGAAAGAAGAGTGTACAAGCATGTGAACATGAGGCCGAAATAATTATTTTTACATGTAAAACTGTACTTTACAGGGCTGTGTGAGCAAAAGACAGATCCCTGACCAGGGTACTCTACAGGCAAGGTAACTGAAGGAAGGAGAAGCCAGGGTGATTGCATAGACCTTTTCCAACACAACACATGTTTGATAATGATCTTTCCAATATCGTAAAGTGGATTAATAAGCAAGCCACTTCAGGATATCAGCAAATTGAACAATTCTGCTCCTTGGCAGAGGGCCAGAGGAAGTGAATTTTTTTAAACACTCTGGTAGGCTATCACAAAGTGGCTTGCTTTTTAAGCCACTTCATGGTATCAAAAATTTAAACTGGAAGGAGCCTTGAAAGTCCGGAAGGCACACTTTTGGCCCATTCCCAGTGACCATACATGCTGGAAATGGGCCAGACCAGAGCAGTCCTACCTGCGCAAAAAAGAAACGCCTGATGGGCTTAAAAAGGTGCAGATATGATTGCTCTCGAGACAGTTTGGTTTGCCCTAGAATCACAATCATGTGATTGCTGGAAAGAGGCAGCAAAGCCATCCCTGAAGCAGACCAAACAGCAGGGCAGATGCCCATATGATCAAGCTCTCACTTCCCATAAATAAATTTATTGGATTTCCTTGTGTGATATTCTTGCTTATTAAGATACAAATACGTGCCTTAAAAGCTGCCACAGATCAGGAACTCTTTGTGACATGAAAACATGTGTGTATTTCTTTGTCCCATGGTACAGTTTACTAGAAATTCACTTGCACCCTCACCACGCTAGTATTCTTGCACAGCTGTGGTTTCATTGTGGTGTAAACAGGAAGACGTCTGGTGATTTGTACTCCTCTACTATTTAATACATTCTAAAGACAGAACGTACAGAGTGGCCATAATACTGTCTCAATAAAGTGAAGCTGCAAACAGCAGCAAGAGTGCCCTCCTCCCACTGTTATACTATATTTGTCTCCTGTGGAATGAACCAGCGGTGCATATTTAATAAAGTGAATCAGTAAAGAAAGTAACTTGGTCAGAATTTTGTCCCCCCCCCCCCAATCTCTTCTGATTTCCAGTTTCAGGCATCTCATTACTTTAAAATTTCCTATATGATTAATTTGAGTGTTATTGATGGGTTTAAACAATATAGAATAGAATGTTCACTAAGTTATTATTGGTGGCTTACTGAGTGTCTATTGAAATTTAACACAAACAGTGGATTGTTACTAATATCTCCATTTTTACATCACCTTCCCTCACCTTCCTCAGTCTGTTTGGTCACTCCTTATTGTGCTTTAGTTGAGACTTTCCAAATTGGTATAGGTAGGTAGCATGGCCTCTGGCTTTAAGGCCTGTAGTCTGCTGAACCTCAAGTTCGGTGGGACTTATTCTCAGGAAAGTGATTGTAAAAGTGTAGCATGAGGCATTCAGTGTGACTCTGGGCAGCAGTGTACAATGTGGATAGGAAGTATGTGCCTCTGGCTGCCTTGTGATACGGTTTGCAAATGGGCATAATACGTTTTCTTAGTTTGGCCTGTGTCTGTGTGTATGCATGCGTTTGTATCATTGCATGTGGCTTTTTCTGTTGTGCAATAATGCATTCATTGTTTCGGTCTGGTACTATCTGACTGGTTGGATAACTTAGCGATTTGGTACCTGGTGTGAAGCCAAAGGTCAGAAGTTTGGTTTCCTACCATCCCTCTAGGGTTAAGAACCAGCCTGTGTGGCCTTGGGCAAGCTCCACAGTCCCAGGGTACCCTCAGAAGAAGGAATGGTGAACCACTTCAGTGTGTTTTACACCTGGAAGACCCTGGGTAGAGTTGCAGTAAGCTGGATGACTTGATGGCGTGTGACTGAAACTGCCATCTGATTATCTAGTGTGGTGCCCAGAGAGATTGATTAGTTTGTCTGAGAAATTAAATCAGTCAGTCTGTCAGTTAATATAATCAACTTGTGATCAGATTCTACCTCTTCCCTAAGTTCCATTCCAGAACTGCAGCATGGTTAGGTAACTGTGGCCTCTGGCTACTTTTGACCTGTAGCACCTGGTGAATCTTTATCCTTAGCTGTGATACCTGGAATTGATGGGATCACTCATCTGGAGGGCCCTAGTTATCCCATCTGGTTCTCTGCTTTCTATAGGTGGGAGATAAAGCAAGCTGTGGTTGAGAGTGGTAACCAATCACCTTATCTTGTCTAATCAGACTTTACACTGTTCTAAAGCTTTAGTATTTTGAAAATTTTCGATCTTGCCTTCTTTAATCCTGGGAGTGGGGAATTGACTCTTTTTCTCCCTGCAGTGGGTTGGTATCTGCTTATTGGGCTTCTCTTCTGTCCTGGATTTCAGTGATATACAGTATGCAGGTTTCTATTACTTTATTAAAGAACTAGTTTACTGAAGATGTTTAGTAAATACAGTAGCTTGGCAAAGTTTGCTTGATAGACTGAGAAATTCTATCCTGAGGTGGCTAAAGTGTTGCTCTCCAGCTGGATTATAGCTCCCATCAGCCCCAATTAGTCTAGCTGCTGTCAGATACCAGCTGTCAGAAATATCGGGACTTGCAGTATATATAACAACATATAGCGGATGTTGCTGATTTCTGTTTTGTATTATATGTGTTTGTGTAGGCATCCTTGAGTCTTGAGAGACTATGGTAGCGTGCATTGTATGGAGGACGTGGAACAGCGTCTAATGTGGCAGTTATCTTGGAGGAAATTTCACTGAAATGAGCCAGGCTTACTTCTGAGCAAGTCTTCATAGAATTGCATTATTAAGGCTTCAAATCTGTTAATGTTAGACAGCATTCCATCTCCTTTAAGCATAGAGTACTTTAAACAGCAAGAGAAGTATTAGTTTTTCATCATCATAAAGCTTATGATTTTGAAAGAGGGGGCATTTTGGCTCTGTAATTTCCTTTGCAGATTTTTTAAACAGTACTGCTATCTTTTATGTTACTAAAAATTTAAAAATAAATGCAGCCCTACAAGTGAAAATGTAAATTTATTATTATGTGCCTTTAATTCAGGAAGGCAAGAGATTTACCGTTCTTTGGACCAGAATATAGACCTTCACTGAAGCTGAAGATGTATGTGAGGTGCAGCATTTTTGGATGCAGTTGGGAGGATTTTATCTACCATGTTTGTCTCCTTCTTCTCAGCCATTCAGTCTACATGTAAAAATGGTGCAGTAGGCAGCCTGTATGTGGACTTTGTGCACGGGAGTTTGTGTGACAGAATCTGCAGTGTTTTTGTGGGTACAAACTAAGATTAAATTGCTTCTGCACATGGGATGAATGCAAGCTTTGTAGGGTTAGCCATGTCAAGCTTTTGAACCAACTCAACCTATTTGAACCAACTAAACAGCAAATGCTGTTGGAGTACAGTATTCCAAACCTTCTGGAGCAGTATTTCTCAACCTTTGACCACCCAGATTTTTTTGAATCCCTG